GTTGGAACATAAAGATTGTTGCTTTGAAGCTTTACAACATGACGAATAAATATGCTTTAAGATTTTTTGAGACAGAAGGTGCTAGGACATTTGATCATCTCTGTTATTTGAAATTTTATTTTTGTTGAGACTGTAGAAACTCAAGGTAGTTTCTTGTTTCACGATAGGGAAGAACAGAGAGCAATAGCAGTAAATAGAAATGAAGAAGTATTTCTTATTATCTCGGTTAAGAAGAATACAGGAGTTTAAATAGAAAATACTTTGTAACATACAACGCTATACAAAAGGCAATACATAAATATTAATTTGTTTGCTCTAATATCCCCCCACAAACTGATGATTTATCGACAATTGTCAGTTTGGTACGTAGTGATTGAAAGCGAGGAGTTGATAGAGCTTTAGTGAAAATATCCGCCGTTTGATCAATTGTGCTGATAGGTAAAATACGGATAGTATTTTGACGAATATGATCTCTAAGAAATCGGTGATCAATTTCAATGTGCTTAGTACGAGCATGAAACACCGGATTGTTAGCAATTGCGATGGCAGATGTATTGTCACACCTAATGTCTGTAGGCAATGATTGTGAGATACCAAAATCAGTAAGAAGTCTCCGAAGCCAGATAATGTCGGAGGCTAGAGCTGCTAGGGCCCGGTACTCGGACTCAGTGGAGGAGCGAGCTACCGTTGTTTGCTTCTTTACTGACCAAGAAATAAGCGTGTTGCCTAAGAATGAGCAATATCCGGATGTAGACTTTCTTGAAACAGGATCACCTGCCCAGTCCGCATCTGAAAAAGAAGAAAGAAGTAAATTAGATTTTGTAATCGGTAAACCAAAATCAATTGTACCTTGAAGATAGCGGAGCAGTCTTTTGAGCATATAGACATGTTGTGGTGCTGGATCTTGCATGTGTTGAGACAATAAGTTCACACTGAATGCAATATCAGGACGAGTAAGTATTAAATATTACAGCGATCCGATTATTCGTCTGTACATCGTTGGGTCCGAGAGAAACGGATCCGGAGACAGGTCCTGCGGAAGCTTGGTACAAGTCGGGTTAGCAAGAGGATTACACTTGCTGAGTTGAGCAGAATCTATGATCGATTTGGTGTAAGTTGGCTGAGAAAGAAAATAAAGATTCTTAGAATGATGAATTTGAATACCAAGAAACGAGTGTACCTCACCGAGATGTTTCATAGTAAATTTCTGATGTAGGAGTTGAATTACCTCATTAACGAACAAAGAGTCATTACCCGTAAGAAGAATATCGTCGACGTACATTAGCAAGAATATTTGAATCTTATTTTTGCGTAAGATGAATAAAGAAGGATCAGATGTACTTTGAGTAAAACCAAGAGTTTCAAGATGTGCGGTAAACGTATTAAACCACTGACGAGGAGCTTGTTTTAAGCCATAAACAGCTATTTTTTACATGCTCTGATACCATGTAGAAACTCAAGGTAGAGTTTCTTGTTTCACGATAGGGAAGAACAGAGAGCAATAGCAGTAAATAGAAATGAAGAAGTATTTCTTATTATCTCGGTTAAGAAGAATACATGAGTTTAAATAGAAAATACTTTGTAACATACAACGCTATACAAAAGTCAATGCATAAATATTAATTTGTTTGCTCTAATAGAGACTAGAGTTATTGCTTATATATCTATAGAGTAGAGGCATATTGGTCCATACACAACTTTTCGGCAATATTTTTTCAAGAAAACAAATACTATGTATATTTAGACAATTACATTTACTATGAGACATATAAAGTCAAATATTCCTTCAATGAATTTTATATAACCTAATTTATAAAAACCACTCAAACTTGGCCATTTAAATAATATATTAATTATGTTTTTAATATTATTTACAAATGAATTGGATATAGATTTATTAAGTTCATCATCTAATAAAATATAATTATGATACTAATATTAATGCAATTCATGAAAACCTCTTTAAATTCTCTCAATATGAGAATTTACGTTATAAACTTGATGTCTCCAAAATTTTACTTCATATATACAAATCTTAATGTATTTTTTTGTATTAAAAAGTTCCTAAATTTAATTCATGATAAGATAGACTCTAGTTTCAACAAACTTATATTTGAGTTGAACATCTTGACAAGATAAACCAATCAACAGAATTCATGATCAGATAGAATCTTGGATTTAGTAAATCCAAGATTTATGCCAAAAATCAAGTAAAGACAAATTTTTATCATATTGAGATTTATAGGTGATAAATGTAAATAATGTATTATTTTATGTGTTATTTTAAGTAAAAATATGTTATATTTTAAGTAAAAAATATTATTTTATGTGTTGTATAGGAAAAGAATAAAAAGAGCACAAAATTCTAGTATCATCCAGCGTCGTGCCACCGAATGAATCAGCGTCGTGCTACCGAATGAATCAGCGCCGCAACGCCATTAAGAACATCGCGGAGTACCACAATGTTTGACATGGTGACAATGCATACTTCTCTGTTTGACATAACTGCAACATCAAAATGGTCGGCTTGGCGGCATCATGTTCACTATCTTCAAGCATCGCAGCGTCACAACCTATCACGCCTTGGCGCCTAAATTGCCACTAGGGCGCCGCCGTTGTGTTCGAAAGTTAGTAGCGTCATGACATAGAAGTTGTAACTTATGAGCGACATGATCTACCAACAAAAAAGCGACTATTCACTAAGTAACTAATCTACGTTGGTAATTGCCTCGATGAGCAAAAACATCAGTGCAATGACGTTAATTCATTTTATGGGCACTGCGGTGCCAAACTTTCAAGCATTACAACGCTAATTGTCTAAATTGTGTTTTCCTATAAATAGTTAATGTGTTATGTTTATAAGGGAGTTTAGTCATTTGTATAATTTTAGTACTTTTTAGAGTAATTCTTTATATCTCTCTAAGAGTCAATTCTAAGGGAGACTATGAAAGTATTGGATATAATTATAAGAGTATTTTATTTAGTGTTTGTTGCAACAACTCTGTATGTTAAGGAAGGAGTGTATAGGAAAAAATATTGATATTTTCTGGTGATATCATTCTCTTGTATTTTTATTTTTCTATTATTTTAATGAAATGAGTTTGTTTATCTTTACTTTCATGTCTAACGAATTCTCTAGTTTTAGATTGATGATGTAGATAACATAATAAGTATTAATGAGATTCGTAGGCTGAAAAATTAAATGATGTTTTCAATATTATCCCTCTCTTTATTTAATGGACACAATAATCATAAATGTAGTTAAAACCTAGTGTGATGTATAACTTCGATGAAAGAATGTAAAAATAACCAAGAATATTAAAATAGTATGTTTGCATACCTAGGCATAAAATGTAAAATATGCTAGGTTCTTAAGGAGATAATATAACTATATGAAGTCACTAGATATCCTTTCACCTCTACAAGCTCGACAGAGATCTATGGATGTATATGCTCATAATCACATTACAAATAAGAATTTTATTAGGAAAAATATGCAATTTACAATCATCAATAAAAAATACTTTATTTAAATATTGTATATATTATTTTACTGTTTTTATTCAGTGATTAAATTTTTACAACCAACATTTTTATTTCAGTGGAATAATTTTATAATTAGAGTAAATAGTAATAGTTAATTGCTAGAAAGCATATTTCCTCATGGGTTCGACACTTTAGTTTATCATTTTATTACTTAATTCAACAGTATACTTACGTATATGAAGTGAGGTTTATTATTTTTATATATCAAAGAAAACTTAAGCATTGTTTAGGGGAGATAGAGCATTAAATATTTTTCATAATTCAAAAGTACACTCAAGAACCCCATCAACAGGATTCCCAAATCCTGTTTGGTAGGATTTATTATACCTCCTCCTCACTTCCTGCATAAATTAGGTAGCCAAACACACTGTAACCAGGTCTCTTGCACTCAAGTACTTTTGCTGCATCCCAATTTTCACCCTACCCCATTAAACTTTGCCATCTTTAATTATCCTTTGAAAACGTCCCAATTAGTGCTAATTTTAATCGCCTTCTTTAATTAATCGATTTAGATATTATCTTTAATTATTTAGGGTATCGAGTGTGATGCCCAAATATTTAATTTTGGAATAATTGTCTATTTCACCTTTTAATTAATCTACAAGAGTCTCATATCTCATTTGTTTAATTGCCACATTATGTGTATCAGCATATGTGTTATATCAAGAAAGTATTCTATGTGGACCGTATTATATTAAGACATGCACATCATGTATAAATATAATGTATCCTGTATATCATGTTCATGTAGCTTATACCCTTGTAACATTCTTATCAATCATTTCATATACATGTATGAGGCATGTCTTGTATAATGTACATATCATATTACATTATGTCACATATGTAATTTATCATGTCATATACATCTACAAGCAAGATAAGATATATGTCTGTTTGTGATGTTTTTCATGTATCTTATTCTATAGGCCAACTCTATATGAATCAATCTCAATCAATCAATCATGTTTATAGGAATTAGTCTCTATCACATATCACAATTTAAGATAACTTTCATGTAATAAGTCATCATTGTATGCCCATCGACGTATCATATCACATCAATCAATCACCTTGTACCTCAATTTTCATATCACTTAAGATTATACCATTAATATTATTTAAAATAAATCTCATTCTCCCAACCTTCTATAATAGAATAATACATCTCCAGTTATTCTGAATGAGTCAATTATTTATAATCTAACTTTCTCGCTTTTACACACATTTAATATTATATAGAGTATAATAACAAATATCATATTCACCTTATGCAACTATCATTATACTCATCAATATGCTTTTATTATGAAAAAAAAAAAATATTTAATTAGTAATTACGCTACTAATTATCTTATTAATCATTTAATTATACTATTACACTACTACTAACGCGTTGTATCGGAAATAACGACGGGAGCTCGCTCGTTGCAGCTCGACTGCGTTGCCCTCTTCGACCAGGGTTTGCTTTTCTTCTTCGTTGCTGTTGGACTTCGCCTGCTTCGCGTCAGAGACGTTCCCTTCTTGTCAGATCGGAAGTATTACGTTCCAAGACGTTCTTCCTGTTGGATCGGAAGGAGCGACGGGAGCTTGCTCGCTGCGAAGGTAACCATCTTTCTCCCTTTCGCGCGCTTCTTCGGCCGTATCCCGTAAATCCGCCGAACTCCTGGATTTAATAAATCCGGGATTTAGGGCAAGATAATGAAAACGGAGGATTTATTTAGCCGTGATATTTACTTCTCAAATCCTTTTTCAAACAGCCCATTGATTTTGATTAAATTTATCTCTGAACTTTTCCCTTTATATCGGTTGGTTTATTCAAATAGAGTGTATGTTTGTTTACGCGCCACTGCATATGATATGTAATGCATGATAGAGCATATTGATTAGGATTTGTTGGCAATTATTCTAGGAGATGAGGCTGAAGAGCATTGTTGCTGCTGAATCGAAACATTTTGTTCTCACAGCTTGATTTTATCCGAAGATGGTCTGTTTAGTACTATTGACTAACTGGTACCAAATTGAAGCTTAATAAACAATTATCAATAAACATAGGTTAGAAAAACCAAATCATTACAAGTGTATCATTATCCAATGTCGTGCAACTGTGATATAAAATTGTTGAAGCAAAAAACCAACTCAGCAAATTATAGAAACATCCAAAAACATTGATCAACCACATCTTGATAGAATTATTTGGCCTCCAACCACTGAGTTGTATTATAAGGGTTAAGGGATGAACATTTATTTTGTATTGTTCGCTGTTCTTAATGTTTTACTTGTGAGCATATACCACCGAGAGCACAGTTTTTGGCTGTTTTATTTACATATAGTGTATTAGAGTGAAGGAACTGCTGCTCTTTAAATCGAATTCATTTTGCAGTGCCGAGGAAGAAGCTTTTTTGGGGATTTCTTTGTGCAATGGGCTATTAAGAAAAGTGGAATGAAAGAGGAAAAATATCTCTATTGAAAACTTTCTGAAACGGTATTCTATTATTTTATCCGACTAACTTTGACATTGGATTCTTATACGTAAATTGGGGCAATGTTGGAAAAAATTGGTTTGCCTGCAAAACCATCAATGCGAGGAGCAAATTGGGTGATTGACGCATCACACTGTCAGGGTTGTTCTTCTCAGTTCACCTTTTTTAATAGAAAGGTATTTGTTTCTCACTTTTATAACTTAACAAACTGGAATCATCCTTTTTTTAAGTTTACTTATTGAGCTGAATTTTGATGTAAATTTTGTTTGATTATTTATGGATGGCGAAAGAGTTTTGTGAGCTATCTTTTTTGCCTCAGTTGTAAACTTCCATTAGTATTTTTATTGTTTTCCCTTTCTGGTTAATGCATGCGTTGCTTGTTTCTAGAGCTTTAGTTATTTCCTTCATTCTGTCAGATGTATAATAAGATTTTTTTTTCTCCCGTAATGCTTAGGGTTATGGAGCTCTCCTTGTTATCATATGCATATCTACTTTATCTGCAACTGTGCGCAAGCATCTTCTATTTTTGTAACATGAAACTGAAGAGTGGAACCATTTGTCAACCCTTATGGCTTTAGATAATTGGAACGAATCATTGCTAAATAAAAGTGGCCCTAGTGTATTGGATAGTCTTTCATATGAAATAATCACTAAAGTCACTTCTATCATCAGCCGCCGCTGCAACTGCCTTTTCCCAATTATTTTAGAATTGGTTTTATGAATCTTTCTTAGTCTTTTTTGTTATATGTTGCATTTAACATCGACGATAGTTGTCCTTTTCTACAATTTCAAGCCTTATTAGTGCATGTTCTTCTCTCATTTCCTTTTTGGTATGTCATATATTTGCTTTAGAGTTTTGTGTTGACCTCTATAGAAAAATAAAATAAAAAATCAAATCACCTACAACTGCCTATCTGACATCGTGCTCCGCACGTACCTCGCATGTCTCGATGTTGCTCCGCTCATCATGTTTCCCGCGATCTTCACCTCGATCAATTGGCCGCTCTCGTTATTAAAATCGAGAGGAAAGAAGCCTTCAGCTTCTCTATTTTCCCTCACACGAGCTTCCAGCCTACCCGCAATCTCCAATCTCCCTCACAGTGCCGACCACTGCTTTGATCCTCCACTCCCGATCAAGGACAACCAGTTTTTTGATTGCATCTCCGTCACAGCCCGATCTTAACATGCCTCCTACGTCACGCCAAAGCAACACTAACACCCCAGCCCGATTTCCTGATTGTGCTTCCTCCAAGTCGGAACCTGCCTCCCCTGTCCGTCTCTGCCCTTCCTGAACTCCATCCCCTTCAAATACCTTCGATTCATCTACTTGTCATCAAAGCCGACGCCTTATATGTCTATCTCCCAATCCCGCTTCTTGTACCAAACCAATTTCACACAAGCAGTTCGATCCCAACTCCCTCCCTCGCGTCTGACGCTCGAACTCTAGGATCCCTCCATTTGAAATCCTCCCGAATAAGCTCTTCTCTTTGAAATCCCTTAACGTCTCAATCTGCTAACTCGCCGAACTCCAACATCCCGTACCGTGCCCGCCTCTGATCGGATCCACACACCAATCTCCTCCTCCGATCTCCCTGTCTCCATCTGAACTTCATATTATAGATCCAACCTCACGATCTCCTCTAGCAAGCTGATCGAAGACCTACGCCTCTTCCGATCATAGCCTTCTCGTCACTTTGCCGCTTCCTCTTCTCCATTCCTTCGACAACACCAGATGCCAACCTAATCTTGATACCACTATCCGATCCTTCATAATCTGTGAACCCGAACCTGACCCGTTTTGAAATCAGGTCGGGTCAAACCCGAAATTTTCGGGTCGGGTTCCGATCTGGTTTTCGTGTCGTGTCAAATATTGACACCCCTACATACAGCTGCCCGATTCCATTCCAGCAATCAACCATAATAGCGACACTTGATCGATCTTTCAACCATTCGAGCCCCCTCACAACTAGAAGAACCTATTGACAGGTAAAATTTCTCTAAGATTTTTTTTGTAATTAATTATTTTGTTATTATTATTAGTTGACTATTGTTATAATTAGTTATGATAATAATAATAATAATAATAATAATTCATTATTATTATTATTTTAAAAAGTGAAAAAAGTGGAAAAGAAAAAAGAAAAATTTTTGTCCTTGATCTTCGTGCCATTGACACTGACATCATCGTCGCTAGCATAGTCTGTAAGGTATAATTCAAACCCTCAGAATCCAGTCCTCGACGCTTGTGGCGTGCTGGAAAATCACCTATACATGCTTTTCTTAGCGTGGTAGGAGTGAACCCGATGCGACATTTGCGGCGAGGCGGGTATGCCATATACACTTTTTTCTTAGCGTAGAAGGGACAATTTTAAGTACCCATACGAGCCTCAATGCATTTCGAATAGGTACATAGAAGACCCATACACTCCTTTCTTAGCATTGTGGGATTGAAGATCATGGCCGCAGTGTCACTTGACACCTACCATGCACGCTTTTCTTAGCATGGTGGGAAGACCCAACTCCACAAATTTTCTTTAAACGGGAAGGCTCCAAGAGGCTGTCGAAATTTACATTGAAATGCATAAAACTTAAATAAATATCGGGGGACCAAATTTGAACAAACACAGGGAATAGAACTTGAACTGAACTGGACCCTAAACTCTAAAATACACAGGTAATTTAAAAATTCAAATGCTAGATAACAATAACTCAAACAAACATTAATGAACAAGCAGGGAGCTTGTGACATATGAAATTTCAAATATTGCTTGTATACAAACAAAGATCAAGTAATCAATGTGCAACATTCACATCAATAGTACCCTGCAAGTAGGAGGGATAGGTGTGCACTGAATAACAACTTGTTAGCCAACATGTACTGAAAGAATTTAATGATGAATGCAACTCACCAATCAGTGTGCTTAGGGAAACCAGTAATGAATGCAACTCAACTGGTAAATTGGTAGTCCACATCAACATGAAAACAAACATACAAAACCTATTTGCAAATGGCAATATTCCCCACAACATTAACTTGCAACTAGATGTATCATTCCTTGTGAGCACTAAAAGTCAATATAGAATGAATATAGCGACTCGCCAGTCAACATGCAGTGAGAAATCAATGGCGGATGCAACTCAACCAATAAATAATAATAGCATGCAGTCAAATGTATCAGTCTTCTACTAACATTGGAAAACTAGTGTGTAATGAATCTAACGACTCGCTAGCCAACATACATGAAGAGATTGGAGGCGAATGTAGCTTGACTTGCAGTCAACAGTAGTTTGTGGTAGTGTGCAAATGAACACACTAAACTTGCTGACAAATGATGATATATCCTATAGACGCACACATGCTGCATGCAACAAATGCTAGGGTGTTCATACAATGAACAATAATCAAGCTTTTAGCAAATATATCATTTTCTTACAAATAAAGGTGGATGATATGCAACAAATGCAGACGCCTACGAGCTGCTGCAGGAGGCTTGTGATACACTCAACATGCTATATATAAACAAAATGCATAAGAGCTGTGATAAATGCAAATACCTATAAGCAGCATTAGAAGGTCTGCATTCAACACAGCTTGACCACATGCAACAATTGAGAATTTGTAATGCATACAACGATCTTATCTATAAACAATAATGATGAATATATCGCCAATATGATGGATCTTCTATAGACTTGAGATAGAAGATTGTGGCGTGTGTAAATGCCTACTAGCAATGATGGAAGATTTGCCATATGCACAATAACAATACATGCTATGGCATCCCTACAGACAACAATCATTTAATGACATGCAAATGCACTGATCCATCGCAAGAAAAAGCAATTGATATGCAGTAAATGTAAGCACTTACAAACCGCTATAGAAGACCCATCTCATACGACAACCATGTCGATGAGTGCCTTCATTTTATATTGGAGTTGAATGTTTTGTTCATCAAGTACAACTATGCCTTATAATTGGTAATTTTAGAGATTCTGATAGTGACAGTTGGCGCAAAGAAGGGCCACACGGTCTAAAGAGAAAATCCATTGATATGTTACTAGAGGAAAGTTTGAATTGTGGCACTAAGCATGCAATGGTGAATGATTCTGTAGAGTCAAAGCATGATCAGTTGAAAAATGTCTCATCTCTGTATAAATATTGAGGCTTTTGGAGAAATGCTGCATTATTTGAATGGAGAACAAATATTTGAATATTAAGCTTTATAACCTAATATCCTACATGTGCATGTGCATCATTAAATGTTGCAGTTGTGGGTTGAAGGGAGCTGCTCTTGGTTGCTAAGCCAAGTCCTGCAAGAAAATTTTTCATGTTCAATGTGTATACTAGATACTAAAATATTATTGGGATATTGAAAAATATCTTGTGCTATGTCCTATTCATGCTTCGAGGAGACTACCTTGTGGCGAATTGAAGACAAGGGGAACCACCAATGCGTTAATCGAGTTTTTGATTGCATTAGATTATGATACCTCATTTATTATAAGACGACCTCATGCAATTTGGATGTCCTCATCTAATCTAAGGATTGGATAATTTGTGGACTCGATCTCTCTAAGGGCGAGAAAAGTATTACAGAAGAAGCTTGAAACTGCTAAAGTATTAGCTCTAAAGGCAGGAACTGTTGCTCTCCATACATTATTCCTTAATGCTATTGTTGTCAATGATCTACAAATGTTGTATGAAAATGAGCTGCCAAACAATGCCACCGGATTTGCAACACTCTTGCGAGCTGACAGAAGGCATTTTGCAAGCTTCAAATGAAATCAATGCAAACTTTAACAACAATCGCGTAGTGCAAATAATTATATTTAAATATTTAAATATTTAAATGCTCCCCCTCATGCATTAAAATATGATTATCCGCATGGGCCTGAACGAGTGTGTTATAGGTACACACGTGACATCTGAGGATGCTACCCGGGTAAAAAATGAACCTAAGTTCGAGCATAATCCTTCTATGTGGGTACATAGGAGTCGACACGGCTCGAATAATCAAACAAATGTACAATTACAGCATCGACTGGGATATTTATGTTACACATTCATATTAGGCGTTCAAGGTATATAAAAAAATACTAATAAAAGCCTAAAGCTGACTACGAACTTGATCCTCTGTCATCAAGTTGACAGAGTCGACAAGGTTCAATCAATAAAATGAAAAAGTGTCCATAAGTACTTCAATGATGGCTGTGTTGACTAGAAAATTTCAACCAGAGGGGACCCCCAAATATTTAAAAATGCCTCCTAATTCCCATAAGATATATTCTATGACATTAATGTTTAAAATTGAAATCAACTACCAAACACTTAAAGTAAAGTACTAATCCACAATACGCAGCAGTTTGCCGAGGTAGATAAATCTGAAAATCACTTCAGCTCACAAAGAGACATTGTCCGGTCGAGAATATCATTAGGATTCATTCTCAATCAGTCTCTTACCAATAAGGATGTGACACATGTCCTCTAATTAGCTTTTTCATCGTCAAATGGCACCACAACTAAACAGTTATTACCGGGACCCTCTGACTGAGTGGTTTTGCCACCAAATGACACCATTAAATTACGATCATGGTCAGAGTCCGTATGTTCTCTAACGACTTCAAATCCTTGAGTATGAATCAATAAGATATAATCGATAAGGCAATAAACCCTCTGTTAGCTTAGGTAGATTCAAACTTGTCCTCTTAGACAAATATTTATCTAGGTCTACAAGGTACCCTTGGACGAAGCAACCCATTGCTGCTGACAAGGATCCTTCGGTCAGGTTGGGTTGACTACCTCCTTTGAATAAGTATATTAGGGACCATGATGGCCTGGGATGACAGAACCATGAGATTTGGTACGGTCTATCATTATTCACCTCACCATCTGTTTTAAGTGCAAGGTGGTGAATCTCTAATTTTAAATGTTAAATTTTCAAATACCAAAACATGCTGCTAGTTTACGTCGGATATTATGTATATGTTTGAAAGTTCTCTCTCGTTATCAGGAGTGGTAATTAACTATAGGGCTTGAACCTATAGGAAACCTGAACTCAGATGATAAAATCCTCGCAAAATGAAGGCGAAATCTTCGGTTAATGTCTTTTTTAAAACCCAATATGCTTTCTAAATATTTGCCCCGTAACACACTTTTTGAAACTCTCCTCGATGACCAAAAAAAAAAAAAAAAGAAAGGGGCCGCGGAGAAGCCGTAGTGCGAATTTTAGGAACCCACATTTTGATATTCTAACACATGCACTCTATCATAATATGCTTGTACGCATAGCAACAACAACAACAACAACAAGCTTTTATCCCATTATGTGGGGCCAGCTACATGAATCCTTTTTTCACCATTATGTCTTGTTAATGGTTAAATTCTCATTTAAATCTAATAAAGAAAAATGTCATTTATAACCAAGACTTTTTAGGTCTACCTCTACCTTTCCTAACATAAGTCAAATCTAGTACATCTTCTTTCCTAATGGGGTCATCGGAAGGCCGCCGTTTTATGTAACCAAACCATCTAAGGTAGCTCTCTCTAATCTTATCTTGCACTGGAGCTACTCCAGCCTTTTCATGTATATGCTCATTTTATATTCGGTCTCTAAGAGTAAAGCCACTCATCCACCTGAGCATCCTCATCTTTGCAATACTTAACTAAATATTATGCTTCTCTTTTATTGGCCAACATTCCGCATCATAAAGCATTGCAGGTCTAACCACCATCTTATAGAATTTTCCCTTAAGTTTGAGAGGGACTTTTCTATCACACAACAAGCTCGATGCATGCCTTCACTTCAACCATCCAACTTGAATTCTACTAATAATATTCCCATCTATTTCACCACCACTCTGAATAATAGACCCAATATATAAAAAAATTGTACTCTTATTAATGACCCAAAGTCACATTCCCTCCACTAGATTTATTATCACTAAAATTACACTCCATATATTCAGTTTTAGATCTTATTTCAAACAAAAGCCTTTAGACTCTAAGGTTGACCTCCATAAATCTTGTTTACCTTCAACTCCCTCTCTAGTCTTATCAACAAGAAGAATATCATTAGCACAAAGCATACACCAAGGTACAACCTCTTGCAAATGTCTAGTGAGAACATTCTTGACTAAAGCAAAAAGATACGGGCTTAAGGCTGATTCTTGATGTAATCCAATTGAAATAGGAAAATACTTGGTCAAACCACCTTGTGTTCAAGAACACAAGTAACATTATTAACCATTTTCTTTTCTAGAACTTTGTAGCACTTCTCTTGGAACTAGTATCATCTAAATATGAAGTCAGTCCTTTAATGAATTGAACCTACATGATATTCCTTTTCTTTTCTCCTTAGTTCAATGAAGCTAAATGGTAGATCCATTGGTCCGTATATGTGGCTTTGGTAAATGGAACCTTCATTAATATTAAAGTTGTCCTAATGCATTGGCTAGTAATTTTTTAACAAAAACTTGGTTAACCATTCCAGTATGATTGTCATCATTAAAATTATCTTAATTATTCAAAGTAGACTTTAAGATTCCTTCATCATTTTTTTTGTTTGGTCTTTTACGTTCTATTAATTGTAGTTTTTTTTTTAGTTTTGATTTTTTAACCTTTCTTATGCAACTTTTTTTCTTTCAGTCGAAGAATAATTTTGCGTTTCATTAAAGATTTAATTTATAGGGTTCACAACTTCACACAACTATTTTTCACTACAATATATTTTTTTTTTTGTAACTTCTCCTTGCATATGGAGAAATGATAGTGTTTAGAACTGTCCTTTAGTTTATAAATCTTTAGCTTTTTTGAGTTCACAAATTATATATTTTGTCTACCAGCATCACTGCCGCAGATGTGGTGGCATATTTTGCAATAGCTGCACCCAACAAAGAATGGTTTTACGTGGGCAAGGCGATTCTCCAGTAAGGATATGTGATCCCTGTAAAAAGCTTGAAGAGGCTGCTCGATTTGAGCAGAGATATGGACATAAGAATCGTGCTACAAAAGGCAAGTCTTTCTTTAATCTCTTAGTTACGCCTTTCCACTTGTGTTCGCTTTAACTCATGTAGTTTGGTCATCATAACTTTTGAACATTCATGCAGCACTTTAGAAGTATATCATGGGTGTAATTCACATTTATTTATTTCATTTAAGAGGAATTCAACTGCATCAGAAGAGCTTAAAATGACCATATATGCTGCTATGCTGATATTGGTGTATTTTAGAAAGCTGTTATACAGGATTGCTTTTTAAATTGTACTATTTCCAACTAAAAAAAGGAATTTCACATATTTAACTGCAATTCAAGGGGCTGTTTGGTTGGCTATAAAGTGAATGCAATGTAAAATAAATGCAATGTAAAATAAATGCAGTGTAAAATAAATACAGTGTAAAGTAAATACTTGAGACTGTTTGATTTTATGTAAATTAAATGCAGGGGAATTATTTTTTCTATTTGGTTGGGTGTATGCAGAGTAAAGTAAAATCGTAGGTCTGTTTGAATGAGACATTCAATCGAGCGTTTGGTGTGTCTATTCCTAAAATGAATTTATTCGCCATATTGAAGTCCCCTAACTGATTAAACACATAAGACATATCTTGTTATTCCAGGTTCCCACACGAGGTGGTCCGACCATCCTGTGGCTCTAGGTTACCACATTGAGTGGCATACCTTGCGGCTCCAGCTGTTTGGTTGCCGCCGCTTCGATCATGCAGTCTCATAACCGAAGGGCGGAGGTTTTGCGTCCCGGGCAGAGATTGTCCGCACCATCGAAGGGGCGAAGAAGCACACAAATGGCAGAAAGATTACCCTCACAATGTGAGGGCTCGAAGGAGTGAAGTCCAACATGAAGGCAACGCTGTTCAAGGGGCGAAGTCCAACAGGAAGGCAGTGCCATTGAAGGAGCGAAGTCCAACAGAAAGGCAACACCGCCGAAGGGGAGAACTAGAACAGGGAGCGTAGTCAAAGGAGCGAAGTCTAGCAGGAAGGGAATGTCGTCGAAGGGGCAAAGTTGTCATCATCAATGGAGTTGAATTTCTCTCACCCGTGTCTTGTGTATTCCTTTTTCACTCGAATTTAAGCAATTTTCCTTTTCCTGTAAAATGAATTGTGGCGGGGAGTTCAGAATACATCACGATTTCCTTTCACTTTGCTCCATTTCAAACCAAACAAAAAAAATAAAATACATATATTTACTTTACATTCATTTTACGGCCAACCAAATAGCCCCTAAAGTATTAAAATATCTCATAGATATCATCTTATGTGGCCGCAACGTCCAAAATGATGATATACAACAAATATTGGTTTGCTTTTTGTTAGGAGTTGAACACCAAAAATGAACTAACAAACAGTAAATCTCAGCAAACCAAATAGATTTTATTGATAATAAAGCAAACACGAACAAGTAAAATACAATGGTCCTCTTTTGAGAGGAGGACATTCTCTCCTAAATCATAGCACCGATAGAATCCCTCACAAAAATAGTGGATAGAAAGAACACTTACAAAATCTGCATGAAGAAAATAATCCACCAAAAGGCCTAATATAACTCTCTCTATTTTCTCCCAAAAACCTGAATTCACTCCATATTTTTTCCCCACCTTTTCCTTTTATAACTGATCCACTCCTTTAATTCTCCTCCCTTTCCAATTCTCCTCTCTTTTCATTTTTTATTATTGAACAATTACTAGGCATGTTTCACACTGAGAAACAGTTTTGCTACGGTGATAGTATTTGCCTTTTGTATTAACTTCAACTGACATTGACCCAGTTTTACTAGAAGTAGTGACATCTTAAAATTACTGCAAAGAGTAAATACCGCTGCAAGTACAAAGCAAATAGCATTCCAAACCACAACTCCTTGGTTGATGCTCATGTTATCCAGTTTGGCCACGATGATAACTTCTGGCCATCTTTAGTCGTTTGAATAACACATACAAGCATCCATAACTTATGCTGGAGTTTATGACATTTTTGTTAGAATGAGACAACCCCCGTGGCAACCTACTTATCCATGTCATACAACTGCAATTAAGATGCTCAAGCTTCTATACAATGTGAAAAATATATGCAAAATGAAAGCAATTCTTTTAAAAGCCGTCATGTACTCACTTTCCCGTGTGGAAAAGGGGTTGTTGGTTGGCATTATTCATTGTAAGTTGTCATAATAATTCAATAAATGTAACGTACAAGTTCCAATTCATATAAAATCTAACTGACCTTCCAGCAATACTAACCAGCTTCCTATACCTATGAATTAGTTTTTCCATAACTTACAGAATTTTATTTAGTTAGTACTCGAGCAATATTGGAAGATAGTGTTTTTGGCCATTGGTAAATCCTTTGTCATATGATCTTGGTACAGGTAATTCCAAGCAGATACTAAAGACTGAGGATGAACTTCTTGGTGAGATTTCAGGAACTAATGGGAAGCATTTGATGCCTTCTAGAAATGAACCGCACATCCTTTTGGATTCCCAAGGAACCTCAAGTACCTCCAATGCAAGTTCGAGTGTGTTATCAGATAATTCAGGTGGAGGAGTTTGTAGTATTTCTGTTGAAGGGCGTGATGATGTCCTCATTGATAGTGAAGGCAGTAGCCCAGAGGATTTACGCCAGCAAGCAATGGAAGAGAAGAAAAGGTATAGGATTCTGAAGGCAGAAGGCAAGTCTGAGGAAGCACTTAAAGCCTTCAAACATGGGAAAGAATTAGAGCGGCAAGCTGGTGCTCTGGAGATTGCAATTAGGAAAAACCGTAGAACTGCTGGAAAAGTTTCAAACAGCAGCAGCAGCAGGGTTAGCACGGATAGTATGGATGACAATGAAGCACTTGACAGTCAGAAAAAAGTCACCTCGTCAAGGAATAAAGAGGTGAAGAAGGATGATCTCTTCACCGAGCTTAAGCAACTGGGGTGGTCTGATGCTGAACTTCATGATGCGGGAAAAAAGCCAGTCAAGCTTAGCTTGGAAGGTGAACTCTCGAATCTTCTGGGAGAGACTTTTCAGAAATCAGAAATTGGTAGGAAAAAAGGTGGTGTTGATAATACTCAGGTTGTTGCTCACAAGAGGAAGGCTTTATTATTAAAACGAGAAGGAAAGCTTGCTGAAGCTAAAGAAGAACTGAAGCAGGCTAAGATATTGGAAAAGCAGCTTCAAGAGCAGGAGTTTCTGGTTGAGGCTTCAGATTCGGAGGATGAGCTCTATACTTTAATACAGAATATGGGCAATGACAATCAAGATGATCTAATGTTAGATAATGATCTTGATGTTGGTGCAAACTTTGAACACTTTCTTAGTGCCTCGGATGATATACCTATTGATGACAATTTAGAGGTAACAGAGGATGATATGAATGATCCAGAGATTGGTGATGCCTTGAGATTATTTGGTTGGTCTGAACAAGATGATCAGCATGAACAAAGGGATGCATCAGAATCTGTTCCTTTCGATCAAGAAGGATTGCAAGCCAAAATCCTTAATCTGAAGAAGGAGGCGCTTAGCCAGAAACGGGCTGGAAATGCTCCTGAAGCAATGTCTCTTCTTAAGAAGGCAAAGCTTCTTGAACAGGACCTTGAAACCTTTCAGTCTGATACAAATATGCCTGAACCGGGATTTCCACAGAAGATGCATGATAATCAAATTAATGCACCTAAAAGTAAGATGGTGATTCAGAAGGAGTTACTAGCCTTGAAAAAGAAAGCACTTACTTTGAGAAGGGAAGGACGTTTAGAGGAGGCAGAAGAGGAACTAAAAAAGGGCAAGGTTCTTGAGCAGCAGTTGGAAGAGCTTGAGAATACTTCAAAGAAACATGTAAATATACCAACCCAGAAACGCATGGAGCCTACCCGTGTCCAAGATAGTGCTATTGGCACCTTTGATCTTGGAGTAGATAGTGCAGAAATAGATGTAACTGAACAAGATATTCACGATCCTGCAATGTTATCAGCTTTGCAGAACTTGGGGTGGAATGATGATGAATCTGTTTCGCTAATCGGAACAAATTTTGCTTCCAATCCATCCAACAGCCAATCTGTGAATGAAAGTGTGCCTGCTGCAATGCCTTGGAAGTCGATGAAAAACAAAGCAGAAATTCAGAGGGAATTATTAGCTATTAAAAGGAAGGCCCTTTCCTTGAGACGTCAAGGGAAGACCGAGGAAGCTGAGGAAGAGTTGGAGAGGGCAAAGGATCTGGAAAAGCGATTGGCAGACCTGGAATCACGAAGTTCAGGATCTCTGGTTCAGCCGGAAACACATAATATTGTTAATGATAATTCAAGTAGAATATTGGATGTCAAAACGAATAAGATACTTGACACTGCAAAACCTCCTGAAGCACTTTCTGTTCTAGGTTCTAAAGTACAGTCACCTGAAACATATAGTTCTGAAGTTGAAATGGCAAGGGAAGCTGTCTCTGTTTTACCTGAACTGGGTCAAAATATTGGAGTCAAGAGCAAACGGAATGGTGAACATGTTTCACTTAAAATTGAAAATTCCTTTAGTATTATGCACGAAACTAATGGGATCAGCGGTTACAGAGATGAGATCCTAGCTCATAAGAGAAATGCTCTTGCTCTGAAGAGGGAAGGAAAGTTGATGGAAGCCAGAGAGGAACTCAGAAAAGCAAAGCTTTTGGAAAAGAGTCTTGAAGAAGGTCAGGAAAGCTGTAAAGATGATAAGCCTGCTCTAGTTTCTACTTTTGAAAGCACTTCAATTGTGCAAGAAACCAGTAGAACTCATTTGCAGAAACCATCAAGTCGCGACCGTTTCAAACTGCAGCAGGAATCCCTCGCTCATAAGCGCAATGCTTTGAAGCTGCGAAGAGAAGGAAAGATACAGGAAGCAGAGGCTGAGTTTGAAAAGGCTAAAGAACTTGAGAATCAATTGGAAGAATTTGGTGCCCAGGCTCCTAGCAGTAGTGTCATAGGCATTGATGCCGTTGGGGATCTTCTTGATCCTCAGCTCATGTCTGCCCTTAAATCCATTGGATGGGATGAAAAGGATCTTGTATCCAAAACTTCAGAGAATCCACAATCCCAGTTAGCCAAGGAAAAGGTTCCAGATCAATCTAACCTGGACAGATTCCACCTTGAAGAACAGATAAAGGCTACTAAGCTTCGTGCTCTTAATCTGAAGAGAGCTGGAAAACAAGATGAAGCTCTTGAAGCTCTCCGTTCCGCGAAAAAACTCGAAAAGAAATTGGGTTTGATGACTTGAAAAACTGATATTTATCCTTTCAATGTTTTCATCATGCAATGAATTTAACTTGAGTTAGGATAGAGCTTGTGAGAAGCTGATCTGCAAAAAATAATTCAGCCTTGAAGGTCATGAAACCATGAGCCCACAATCATCTGGATGAATTTCATGGCTATATTGCTTTGTACATTGGAGATTTTAGTGGCTGATTTGTACTGTGATTAGAGTCCTCAAAGGTTGTTATATACTTGCAATAAATATTATAAAGTTGTGCTGCTAGCATTCTTATGGTTTATGGCTTCCAGTGACAGCACTCAGTGTGTTGTCAATTTTACTGAACATACTTGAAGAATTTATTCTATAACAATTCCTCTATAGCAGATTTGAGTTGCAAAACAGTACCTAACTATGCTTTGAACGTTGTTTTTTTTATTATTATTGTTAAAAAACATTTACTTGAGAGAACACAAAATGTGTACTCTTTTTTATTATATGTATTTTTACTTCTATGTAACTGTCTTTTGGTCTCTGCCTTCAGCTAATTTTCACATGATAATTGACGAAGTGATCTGAAATAGCGCCAAAGTTGATGTCAGAGAGAAAGTGGTATGCATGATACTTATTTTGTTCTTTCTACCAACTCTGATCTCTTTAATTTTGCTGTTTTTTTTTTTGTCTTCTCCCATTGTATGATTGCTTTTACTCTATTTCTTATTTGTCTCTTTCATCAAAAAAATACATTCAAAATATTCCAAAACCATTTCAACAGGCCGAAAATTTTTTATTTAACTTTGATGTATTCCCTCCATTAACTTTGAAAAACTATGTGATGTCTTTAACCTTCCTAGAGAAACTTCTTCCTACACATACTTGGGCATTATTATATCTATTAAAAGGTCTTACCACTTAGATTCTTGAAATTTGTTAAATAAGGCTACCATATTACTTGATGGTTGGATACACAAGTCATTATCTTTGGTCAGGAGGCTATAGTTTCTAAAATTCACTATGTTCAACACTATTGCCTATTAGATTAAGGGAGAAATTTTGCCTAAAACTTGCATTAAATATCTCAATGAAGTTGTGCTTGGAAACTATATATGATTTCTTGGAAAGATACGTGCAAACCTCTTCTCTATAGTGGCTCAGACATTCCTTACATCCATGATCTTATCTATGCGTACAACTAGACATTTATTTTAAGAAAACGAGCCTATATTATTCTTCTTTTGAGAGTATCAGACATCTCTTCTTTAAATGTGATTATCTTTTCAAATACCATGCAATCTTATACCCTTCCTCTCTTCATACTTGCTCCATCCTAATATTAGTCAGGTTTTGGATTCAATTGTTGAGCAGAATGACTCATCTGTAGGGGTATAAGATGGTCTCTATTTAATAGTTTGTGGCTTAATTTATTACCATGGGAAGAAAAGAAACCTAAGAAAATTTGGGCTCAAAATTCAAAATCAATATTATATTACTAACGAAATTAAAAGAGCTACTGCTTTGGATGCTCTTTTCTCGGTGGTCCTTTTTTTGTGTCTTTCCTGTTTGGCAAGCTGCAAGTTTTGTTGCAATCCAGTGATGATAATTGGTGCAAATTTATATTTTTCAATTTTTTTTCTCATTTAATATATTTTTTCTTGTTCTCTAGTGACAGGCAATTTCTTTTCTTTTTTTAGAATTAATTTGTCTTCATGCTCATGGGGTTGAGAGCCATTTCTCCTTCTCGTTGCTTGCGGTCTTCATTCATGTTCTATATTAGGAGTAATTATTTTGTGCGGACGTCGAATGTCATTCAGAGGCCCACCAGAATGCGCCACATCACCCATTCGCTCAGTATAGCCGCTCGGTACAATGGCTCTGTGCCGCTGACGTGAAGCATTCTGGTTGGTCTCCTAACGGCGGCCTTCTGCGTCCGATCACCGTACAAAATAATTTCTCCAATTTTCGAAGAACAATGGGCAATGCCATTAGGAAAGAATGAAATATTTTGTAATATGTCGAGTAATTCACAAATAGTTCATAAATTAGAAGTCTATGGTGATCCAAAAAGTTTCATAAATCTTAGATTAATACCCCCAACATAAATACTAATTAAGATGCGAGAGAATTGAGAATACTATACTTTCTAATGTGAAAATTTTTAATGAGAAAATCATGTGGTCTTATTAACTCAACAAATTTTAATTGTTAAAGCCTGTTAGAAGGTGACATTCCCCACAAAGTCAAAGAATTTCGACACAAAATGTCACAATAAGCTCGATATTCATCATCGATATCTATGCCAATGTCTATGATAGGTATCAACACTGACTTCTATTCTCAATACTATTGTGAAGTCCTACATGTGCATAAAGCTCAACTTCTATTGTCAATACCAATGTCAACACTCGGCGCATTCAACACGAAAATGCTTGTTGTTAACACCAAATACTCGCGATATTGATGTCCATTATTTATTATTATTATTATTTTTTTTGGAATTTGGTATCCACCCGCTGTCACCTCCGAAAAGGCGCTTGTCGGTGTGACTAATTCTCGGCTGACCTAGAAGAGACACATATTTCAAAAATCTCATGGCCCGCACTTGATTGGGTTTCACTTAAAAGATGTTATCGCTCGAGGGGAATCGAGTACGGATTGAGGGGTTCCTAATCGTACTCACTGACCAATCAAGTTAAGTATGAATGGGTATGTCCATTATTGACTCCACACTCACGTATATTGTTACACAAATACCAAGTCGAAACATCATCATCAACAGTAATAGCAATACTCATCATCTTTGGCAAGCATGTTGAGATGGTGGCATTGGCACTGTAATTAACATTGGGCACGTAGATGTTGATAATTTATATTTTGTACAATTGATAAATCACTTCTCAAATTATAGAGAGTGGGGACTCTCACACTCGTAAAATTAATTAAAATGGTCAAATTTCGTGGATTTCAAATTTATATATTTGGCAGCGTCACTGGCAAATACTGGAAGCTTGGAAGAAGCATCTAGCTTTCTTCCTCACTGCTCCGCCTCCGTCAAAGTCGTTATATGTAGCTCTCCTAATTGCCAGTCCGACAACGACTGAGAAAGAAGACTAGTTGGGCAGTACGGCGCGTAGCAACTGCAAAGCAGTTCCCGGGCAAACTTCGCCAGCCACATGTTCGACGATTTGCTTCTGTGAAAATAAACTCAGAGGAGGCGATGGCTTCGGTGGTGTATGAGACCGGGCTGTGCGACGCAAGCGGCGTGGAAGCAGGGCTCACCAAGGAGATTCGCCAAAGTCATGGCCGCGGACGCACCGCGCACAATTTGTCATCTTCTTCGCTGCGCAAGAAATCGGACAACTCGCTCGTCTCCAAGGTCCGTTGCCGAGTTCTCCGCAATCTCCTGACTAATCTCCAGGAGGTTTTACTAGGGACAAAGCTTTTCGTGCTCTTTTTGGCGGTGCCGCTTGCCTTTGTTGCACAGAACTGGAGGTTTGGACGGGTGAGCCGTCGCTTCTGCTTTCCTGCTTCGTCAATTTCTCCGTTTTCTTGCCTTCATTTTAGTTTAAGCTATGATATCTGTTCTCTGGATTTTTTTTTTAGTTGTTTCGTGTTGATATGGAGTTTAATATTTACAAATCAACGATTACGAATATTGGGGCAACATAGGCAGTGTGAGTAGCAGGGCTTGAGACTTGAGTTGCTACCTTTGAAGGCGAAAACTACCGCCATCATTTTGAAGAAATGGCGACGAGGAAAAGCAAACCCTGGGCTGCTTTAAGAAGAGATCATAGATAAAGACTATAGATAAGGAAAAAAAAAAAAAGTTAAAAGTTTCTTTCCCATTAGCCGTGACCTGTAGGCCTATTTCGCCTGTGCTTCGCGTGAGAGGTAAGAGTTTTGAACAAGCCACTAAAAAACTTATTCGCCTCCTTCGACGACTTTCCTTCATGTCGGATCGGAAGTCGCGACTGGTCGCCGTTCTTCTGTTGGATCGTAGGGAGCTCGCTCGTTGCGAAGGTATCCATTTTCTCCCTTCGGCGCGCTTCTTCAGCCAAATCCCGTAAATCCGCCGAACTACAGGATTTAGTAAATTCGGTATTTACTGCAAAAGGAGGGAAACGGAGGATTTATCTGCCATGAGATTTACGGGACGCTTAAATCCCATTTGGCAGGATTTGGCATAAGAAAGAGAACCAACTAATTGGATAATAAATAAGTTCACATTTAGAGGTTAGAGATTTAATAATTTTTTTATTTTATTGATTAATAATTAATTATAATATTAATATATAATAAATATAATTTAATTTATCTAATTAGAATTAAAAAGGAATGGTTAGTTAAATTAATAATTTTATAAATTAGATATAGATAAATTATGTCCCCAAAAAAGATATAAATAAATTAAGTTAAATATATAATCTGATATTTTTAAAATCTTATTTAAATTAAGTGATTTAAATCTTAAAATAAATATTCAAATAATGACAAGCGAAAATTCTTACAAGCAAAATCGGTTCATTATCGGAAGTTCATCATATTTCGCCTAAATGTTAGGAAAATCGATTTTAATTTTTTAGGGTTTATTCGGCATTCAAGGCTTTTAAGTTTAACTGCTTACTTGTAATCGGATTTTACTTCTTTTTTTATCTGAAAAATTACGTTGATAAATTACCTAAATTTTTTTCATTTTGTCTTATTGCAGACATGGGTATTTGCTTTAAGTTTGCTGGGCTTAATCCCTCTTGCAGAGCGTCTGAGCTTTCTCACCGAGTAAGTTATTGCTTGTCTCTTTCCCATTCGATTCTAAGATAAACTTTATCTCTAGCAAGGCCTTGTAGATGTTTTAATGGTTCATATTACATAGCAATTTTTTCTTCATTTTATTCATTTGATAAATATAATGTAATCCTTTCGAAATCTATGTTAGTTTCTGCAGTTAAAGATAAGGTCATCTGGTGGTTGGTTTCCCAGTATTCATAAGAAAAATGGGAGACAAAATCTTACCTTAAACTCATTTAGTTCCATGTGAATATACAATTTGTATTACAAAATGATGAAATTTGCTAGATTTTGATGTAATTAAAAATCGACATCGGTTCTAATCTCACAAATTTCTCAAATCTAAGGATTTTATTTCAAATGCAAAATAAGTGAAAATGAAATCACTATCAACCCTGCTAAATTTACTTTCAACCAAGTAGTAATTTGAGATTAGTTACTTCCAACCAAACTTGTTCCATTAATTTGCCAAGGCCTTCTCCCAAGGAAGGGCCTCATTTGTAATCGATTACAAATACTAGTGGATTCATTCAAACTGGGTCAGACCCCGTGGTTTTTTCCCCTTTTTAGGGGTTTTCCACGTAAAAACTCTGGTGCCTCTTATGAATGCTACACCCTCTCTTTTTCTGTATGTGTGCTGGATCTTTGTACAATGCTAAGACGTTAAACTATATACTTTACCGCCGCGAATACTCCAGGACGCAACAAAGCTCTTTTTAAGAACGCCTAACCTGGGTGTCTTAAAATCAAATTTATATGGACAACTATTTCCTGATGATAAACACCTCACACGCAAGAAAATGTGAAAGCTAGAACAACTTAAGCCGTCTTTATCACAGTCAGCTAGCAAAAATGTCAAAGTAGTCCTGAGCGTTATCTAATGATCCATTAGTGTAAGCCGAAATGTGTCATGTCTAACAGGGCTATCAGGAAAGCCGTTAGCCATCAATATACCCTTGATGTGGTGTTGATAATTTGCTTAAATTTCAGAACCTGCAATAGTGTTTATACCTGTGTCAATATATGTATATATACATACCTTTGAGAGGTCGCACATTTGTTGCACTTCGAGTCCACCAATATTGGAGGTCACATGCCATTGAATCGTACTTTGAAGTGGTTGTCCATTTATTCTAAATGTAACTTGATACGATCTTGTTTTAGGCTAGATTGCAGCATGAAGTTGATCCCCTCCGATTTTTGTCCTTCATATTATGCTTATCCATGTTGATGATGAAACTGAAGTAGCTCCACTTGATGATGCATCTTTTACTAAATAGAGTCCAATTCTATGGGCCTACATGACTACTAATAATGTTACAAATTCTAAGGGCTTCAACTTCTCCTGAAAAAGATAAATCATTCTTCATAAGTTCACTCAAACATACAATATTCTTCATTAGGTTTTGTGTATGGTAAACTGTGGCCAATTTCCGAATCACACCGTTATGCATCTGTAACTTCATCGTGCTAAGACCATCTTATGCATCGAATTGTTTTCTATATAAGCATAATCACTATGAACAAGTTGAACAAAATCAATTGTTTGTTGCATGTCTTTAGCAATTACCTAAAAAACTTCATTTAAATCGACATCAAATCAATTTGTAAGGGCACTAGCATTTGTTGACTTGTTATCTTATATTTGTTTTTGGCATGCTGATATTTTCTCTTCAAAGCTTGATAATTTCTCTTGATGTGCCCCTTCCTATTGCAATAGAAATAAGTGATGTTCTGCCAAGAGACTTACTTTTGTCATGAGTGTGTGCCCCAAAAATTCGCACCCCCGCCGCCTCTCTGCGACCCATTTCTTTTTATTTATGTACGAGGAGAGTTTTAACGAGTTTAGGTTATGGTGTAAATTTTCAGAAAACAGATTGGATTTTAAACAATACATTACCTAGAGGTTTTGCCCTTATTTTACGAGGACTTTATGATTTGAGTTCAAGTTTCTTATAGGCGCAAGCCCCTATAATTAATTACCTCTCCCAATAACGAGAAAGAACTTTTGATTAAGGATAGTCACTAAATAGATACATAGTACCTAACATATAGTAACACATAATTTGATATTGAAAATTGAAATTTTATCACCGTGCACTTAAAGAGGATGGTGGGGGGAGTGATTATAGACCTGATCAAGATCCAATGGTTTTGTCGTCCTAGGTCATCATGGTCTCTAGTCTTAGTCAGAGGAGGTAGTTAACCCAATCTGACCAAAGGATCCTTGTTGGCGGCTATGGGTTGTATCGTCCAAGGATACCTTGTAAACTTGGAGTGAATGTTTTTTTAAAGGGACATATTTGAGTCCACATTAGCTAACAAAGGGCTTTGTTCCATCTCGATTATATCATATTGATTCATTACTCAAAGATTTAAAATCATTGGGGAACATACATGCTCTATCCATGACCGTAATTTAGTGGTGCATTTGGCGGTAAAACCACCTGGTTCAGAGAGTCCTGGTCATAACTCTTTACCTGCGGTGCCATTTGACGGCGAAATCACCTGTTAGATGACACATGCCACATTCTTACTGGCAAGAGATTGTTTGAGAATGAATCTTAGTGACATTCTCAACTAGACATTCGCTCTTTTTGAGTTGAAGTGATTTTCAAGCTTGTCCACCTCGACAAATTATTAAGGAGAGTGGATGTATTTTGCTTTAAGTTTAGATGACTAAATTTCAATTTTAAATATTAATATTATTAATAGATGTGGAGGTTTAGATCTTTGATAGGTATTTGAGAATTAAACCCTCTGGTTGAGATTTGCATTCCACACGACCATCATCAAGGTTTTAAATAAGTTGTATATTTGTCATTTGAATCGTGTCAATTCGGTTCGCCTGCTAACAGAAGACCGAGTTCGATTACCGATATTATGAGTTATCACACGAATATTAAGAACAAAGAGTGTTATGCTTTTAGCAATGAACCTTCTTGTGATAGATCTTGAATGTCTAATATGAACGTATAAAATCAAATACTCTGATCGGCACTTCGATTATGTATTTGTTCGTTAGTTCAAGCCATGTCAACTTCGGTCCATTCAAAGAGGAGTATCAAATTTGAACTTAAGTTCACTTTTTGACCCATGCAGCATCCTTAAACGCCACGCGTGTACATACATCATGCTCATCGAGTCCCATGCGGGTACCTTCTTTTGAGTGTATTTATAAGGTGGTTATATGTATGTAATGCAGTGGATTCGTATAACATATCTACATATCCACATTCGCGCTCATGTATTCATTTGCATGTTGACCTACTTACACATGTATTTATATGCTTGCATGTATACATGTGTAATAATATATGCATTTGCGCACTACTTAATGTGCTTACATGACATTTTTGTATGTTGCATGGTGGCTTAATGCATTAACGTAGCGTATAATGTATTTGCATGTTGGCAAACTGCGCTATTATGACATAGTGCCTTTTTGCATGTTGGATGATGTGTTTACATGATGCATTTTGCATGTTACATAGCACATATTCACAGTTTGTTTGCATGTTAGATATATGCCTGATATATCTATATATAACTTAATGCATAATGCATTTTCAGATGACATGCACTCATGATGCATTTGTACTGTATACTTGCAGGCTTTCCAAAGCATTTGTATGATGCGTATGCATATTCTTAATGCATTAATATGCATTTCAATGCACATTGCCAGAATATTGTGTTTTCCAATATAATGATGCGCTTTTTGAGGTGGCAGCACATCTCTCGAGGATGTCATGTGCTCTTTGAGGCTATTGCATTCTTCTCAAAGCAGTGACACGTTCCTCGAGACAATGCATTTAAATTGAGTAAATTATATTATGATGCATGAGAGGGCATTTTGAAAATTTTAAATATAATCAATTGCGCAGGTGATTTTTATTTGGGAAATGCGCAATATTCCATTTAAGGGCCTACGAATGTCTTACGTTTGCTTGTACGAGTGTTACGAATCCGATGGCGTGAAGGCGTATTAGATTTCAGTTGTTGCATGTATTGCTTAGTTTATGTTGCCTCGTTGGGTTATTATATCATCCATCACAGCCCGTAGAGGAGTGTTGTTCATTAGACATTGGGAGATTGTGCTCGTGTTGTTAGCAGACTACGTCGTTCTCCACGAATCCCTCGTCGTCATTTGCGGGTAAGTTGATTTGTCCGATATGATAACTAGGCATTACGAATTCCTTGCTTCTGTCTATAGGTGAACTGTATTGTTGTGCTACGGGTCACTTGTTGTTTTATGAAGATGGGGTTGTCATGCAGTGCAGATTTTACTATCGTTGCTTGCACGCAAGCAATAGGCATTCAGAAGTCACCAACTCTTATCACTGCCCGTGGGCGGGTTGCATTAAGTGCAAATATTCTAATATGGCTTGCAAATGGGATTGTTGGATGCATCATGAGTTCGTACGCTCTGCCATAATCTCGCTACCCTAACTCATAGGAAAACTATCATATGCATCACATATCCTCTAGTGCTACTCATAGGTGCTTACATTTGTTGCAGATTTTCTACCCTTGCTCATAGATGGTGTGCCGCATGCATTGCATTTCCCCTATCTATTTTTTTGTCAGGAATTTGTCATATTCATCATATATCGTTCTTCATTACTTGCAGAGATTTGATGTGTTTGCTCGTAAGTTGATATTGATTGTCGGGAGGTTATATTTGTTGCATATCTCCAATGTTCTACCCATGCGCATATCATTGTATTCATTGCAATCTGCTTGGATATATTTGTAGGATGGATGTCGTGCTTATAACATGTCTAATGTTTTTGTTGGCAGGCGGCTTTCACATTTGTTTTCAATTGGATGACATTGATTGCATGCAAACTGTGTTTGCTTTGAACTCCTTGAACATATCTTGGTTAACAAATCAACATATTCACTGCATGCCAACCTCCTTTACTTGCAGAAGATTAGTGTATTTGCTTTCATGACAGATGCGAGTGTTACACATCAACTACTATCATTCATATGTGATTTACAATATTTGTTAAGGGCTTTGTGTACTTGCTTGCAATCAGATTATACATTCCCTTCAATTTCATTGCTTGCGGGTGAATCATGTTGAAATTTATCCATCACAAGTCCTTTGTTCACTTATTTCTATTTGATTTTTGTTATTTTGTGAATTACAACTTTATTTTAAGCATTAGGTCTAGTTCCCTGTGATTTTGGTTGCAAGTTTGGTTCCATGTAATTTGCTTAAGTCAGATTCCTTATTAGTATAAATTTTGACAGCCTCTCGGCGTCTTCTCAGTTTTGGGGAATTTTTGGGAGTCTAGGCCTTCCCACCACGTCAAGAAGATATGCATGGTCGGTGTCGGGTGCATCTCGGCTGTGGTCTTCTACCCCACCACGCCAATAAAGGTGTGCATATGTTACAAGGGTACCTACGCGAAAGACTTTCAAATTTCCTCGTTGGCCTAATAGAGCATATGGGTACTTAAGTTTTAACCCCGTCATGCTAAAAAAAACGTGCACAAGGCTCACCTGCTTCGCTGCAAGCATTGCACCGAGCTCCTTAGTGAGTGAGGCGACGACGACGATGTCAAGGCTATGACGAAAAGGCACAAGCCTCTTTTTTGTTTTGTTCTCTTCTCTTTTAACTTCTCTTTTTTTTCTTTCCTTTTTCTTTTTTCCTTTTTTTATCTTTTAAATAATAACAATAATGATAATATGGAGAGGAAAATGGGTGGCTTGGGTCTTCTTTGTGTGGGATAGCTCATTGGAGTTTGGTTATAGTGAGGTGAACGCAGGATCGGAGGCTAGAGTTTGATTGTAGGTGCTCAAACAGAAGATCGGGAGGCTTGTTGGATCATTCGTGTGCGGGAAGAAGAAACAAACAATTGCCTTTCCTCTTGCTTTAATAACGAGAGCGAGCTGCTTGTGGGCTTCTTCGAGCGAGATCTGAGCAGAGAATGTGGGAAGAGTGTGCGCGGCATCGACACTAAATAGTAGGTATGGGTGTCTTTTATTATTATTATTATTATAGCAGACAAGTAAAAAGAAAAAAAAATTGTGCCTCAATTTGTGTACGTCGCCTCAAAATCCATGTTGTTTTCTCACGTGAGGTACCTACGCAATATTACAGTCATTTTTATATAATTTGAATGTTTCGAATTTCTGAATTCAACGACAAAGCCCGTTTTGCGATCAGACGTCATTTGGGAAGCATCACACAACATTTTCGGGTGTAGATCATCGATTTTGATCTTCGCCCAATTCGATTGTGAGGGGCTCCCTCTTAGGTAAATTCGGTGTTCTGATCACAACGACATAGTCCATTTGGTTATCGAAATTCATTTGAGTACTTTAGTGATGCGTCGCCTGTCGACTGTCGCTCACGTCGCCGATTTTAGCCCTTTTTGTGTTTCTTAATGCATGAGTCAACAATGAGTAGATGCTGACCTTTCAAACTAGGTCCCTCAACCAAAAATCCTTTAGTTGAATTTTCATGTGTTATTCCCTCCATCTTGAAAGTCATGTTTTAGAAAGGAGTGCATTTTGAACACTTTTATGTTGATGGTACCTTCACCACATAATATGGTATCATAAAAATGGTTATAAGAGGGAGGTCAAACATAAAATAGTAATGAAGCTTGATTCTCATCATCTATCATCACATCAATCTCCCATAAATCCTTAATATGGAAATAAGTTCACTAAGATGTGATTTAATGGGCATAGCTTATTACATCTTTACTTTTGATAAAGTTTGGTGGAAAGGAGTTTGGTCATGTGAAAAGATATAACTTTAGCTGCAACCCCTTCATCTTTGGTTCCTCCTAAACTATTGTTAAGAGTTCATTAGTCAAAATTATATGTATCATCAAGAAAGCATTTTCATCCGCCTTTAATGTATCTTCTTTTGCTAATAGTCTGGGGCAAATTGATGAAAGCAAAGATTGTAGTGGATTTTTTTATTAAAAAAAAAGAAAGATAATTCAGTCTAGAGGAAGAATCGAGGAGATAGAGAGAAGAAAATGAGTGAGAAGATTGGAATAATGAATGCCTCAAAAGGAAGGAAAATATGAAGTAGAAAGAAAGTGAACATTGATAAACCTTAAGAGAAGGGAAGAATCAAACCTAGAGGGGATGACAAAAGAAAGACTTTCTTTATTCCATCGTCAACCAACTAAATTATGAGACCTTATGCTCTATTTATAAAAATAGGCCTCACTGAAAATAAAAAAATTATCCTTGAATAAATAGGCCGTTTGATCTCCTACTTTATGACCATCGTATTCCTAATTAGACTCTGAAATAAATTATTGGAAAATTTTAAGTTTTTATGAGGAATTGCTTATTGATAAAGACAACAAGGGATAGTTTGCGATTTGTTTTGACTTTTTATATTTTAATTTTAATTTATTTTTAATTTTATATGAAATATAACATGTAGTATCTTAAAAATATGTTGTTTTTTATTTTAATTGACTTTTGAATAAATTGAATTATGCATGATGGTGTCGGTGGTGATGCAACGGTGATAGCCGACCAAGCGATGACAATGATGGTGGTTAATGTTGATGGTGAAAGTGGTCGGTTTTTGTTGCAAATTTGTGCTTATTGCTGGACAGAAAATCCAAGATGTTCAGAACAGTTGAGGTTTAGCGTGTACCTGAAGCTAGCCGATTTAGCGAGAGGTTAACGAACAAAATGACGCTCAGGCGTATGCTTTAAACCAGAGAAGTGGAAACCACGCTTTAGCATGTGCCAGAAGTCAGAGAAAAGGATGCCTCAGCGTGTAGTAGAAGCCAGAGTAGAATTCTTGAACCATTACTGCAAAAACTCAAGAGAAAGGAATAAGAAAAATCATATGTGAAAACTTCTTCGTGAAAACTTCTTCATTGAAGAGAATTTTCTCCAGGGCAGGGGCTTGTTACAGGACCTAAAATCATCTATTTTAAAATTTATGCTAAGGCTAACATATTATTGAGTCAAATCCTAACAAAAATAATGTCTCCTTTCATTTCCAATGAAATGAATAATAATACTTAACCATGAGAAATATAAGTGTTTTTCCAATTGAGTAATGGCTAATCTCTTCAATATCATCTGTCCAAATCTTGATGAATTCGTACTATATTTGTTCTGTAAAGCTTTGGATCTACAGTTCAACTAGGTTTAGTGGCGATGTGAGTTTCCGTAGGTTTCAATTGATCTCATATTTAAGGCTTCTTACATAGTTGGATATGTTACTTTTCGGTTGTTGAACTTCGTTTGTTATGTGTTATTGATGGCTATTTCACTGTGCTAGTTTATTTGGAAATTAAATTGTTGATTCCTGCTATTCAAATGAAACACTTGATTTCTAAAATTGGATTTCAATTATATATTTAGCAAATGACTTTCAAAGTTCCTGTACAATGTTATAATTTCTTCAGTTGCTCCAAGTGTAACTTTTTTTTTGAAAGTGTAAGTGTTACTTATATAATGCATACAGCCTTGATGTCCTTTAGATTCTCTTTTGTTTTTCTTGGTGCTCATTCTCATCCTTAACCTTTATTTACATTAAAGAACAACTGAGTTGTTGGTTCTACTTCAGGAACTTCAATTAGTGTTTTTTGTCTTTTTTTGTTGTATTTCTATTACAAAACTCATGTCCTGTCCTTTGTTTGGATTGATGGTGCAGGCAAATTTCATTTTACACCGGTCCTACTGGTATGTAATAGCAATCACTGTCTTGCCACTCTTTATATGGATGCATTAGATTCTTTAATCTTCTAAAATGGCCTTGTTCTGTTTACCTAATAACTTATTTCAATGCTTAAGTTGGTGGTCTCTTGAATGCTACATGTGGGAATGCGACAGAGCTTATCATAGCTTTGTTTGCCTTGCACATGGGAAAGATTGAAGTTGTCAAGCTTTCTCTAGTAGGTTCAATCCTCTCAAATTTGCTTCTTGTCCTTGGAACATCCTTTTTTTGCGGTGGACTTGTTAACTTGAGCAAGGAGCAGCGTTTTGATCGTGTATGTGGCAAATTTAATTAATGAGACACTTAACAGTATTTGATCAGTAGCTGATGATCTCCATATTCTTACAGAAGCAAGCCGATGCGAACACAGCTCTCCTGTTACTAGGTGCACTATGTCATATGCTTCCTCTGATGCTCAGGTATACTGTGAACTCTGACGAGGGTTCCTTTACAGCCCCAACTCTGGCATTTTCAAGGGCAACCAGCATTGTTATGCTAGCTGCCTACGTTGCATACCTCTTCTTCCAGTTGAAAACCCATGGCCATCTATTTAAGCCGCAAGAGGTAAATCTTTAGTCAAATTCTGATGGTAGGAAATCATATTATTTGTAATGCCTTCTTTGTTTTGATCAGATTTAGCCAGTTTACTTGTTCTCTCTAACCAAGATAAACTGTTTCATTTTGACAATAATCAGGAAAATGATACAGATGACACGGTTTCTGATGCTGAAAGCGTAATTGGATTCACTACTGCAATAGCCTGGTTGGTTGGCATGACGATATTGATTGCAGTACTTTCTCAGTATGCTGTTTGCACCATTGAGGTAATTGTTTTTGTCTTCTTGGCGTTTTGAGAGGGATCCACAAATTCTATCATCTGATACTAAGAATGATGGTCTTTCTGACTTCTTATTGTTGTAGAATGTGAGGATTGTCAATGGTGCCTTCCTTTGATGTACTGAAATCCATAAACTTAAAGAGTGTTTGCATTGTTTATCATCCTGAAAAATTTCAATGAAGCCTACCAATATGATACAACGACAACAACATAAGCCTTTATCTCATTACGTGGGGTCGGCTACATGAATCCTTTTTTCTCCATTGTGTCTTGTTAAGAGTCAAATTCTCATTTAAATCTAATAAAGAAAAGTCATTTCTAATATTTTCTAACCAAGTCTTTTTAGGTTTATCTCTACCTTTCTTTACATAGGTCAAATATAATATATCTACTCTCCTAACAGGGTCATCGGAAGGTTGCCGTTTTACATGACCAAACCATCTAAGGCGATTCTCTCTAATCTTATCCGTCACTGGAGCTACTCCAACCTTTTCACGGATATACTCATTTCATATCCTTTCTCTAAGAGTAAATCCATTCATCCGTCTGAGCATCCTCATCTCAGCAACACTTAACTTAATATTATGCTTCTCTTTTAATGACCAACATTTTTGTGGGCTCCGAAAATTCACACCCCTGCCTTTCTGCAGCCCATTTTCTTTTTTCGGGTTGTTGTGGAGAGTGTTAACACTTAAGTTTTGAGGAAATTTTTCAGAAGGTATATTGGGTTTTGAATAAGACACTACCCAAAGATTTCTCCCTCATTTTGTGAGGACTTCATAATACGAGTTCAGGTTTTCAATAGGCGCAAACCCTTATAGTTAATTACTCCTCTTGATAACGAGAAATTTTTTTATTAAGGCTAGTCGTCAAACATATATGTAGTATCCGACATATAGTAGTAGCATGATTTGGTATTTAAAAATATTTAATATTTAAAATAAAAAATTTATCACCTTGCACTTAAAGCGGATGGTGGGGGGAGTGATGATAGACCCCTAAACTCAAGATCCCATGGTTTCGTCATCCCGAGTTATCATGGTCCCTGGTCTACTTAGTTAGATAAGGTAGTTGACCTAACCTGACAGAAGAATCCTTGTCGTCAGCCATGTGTTCCTTCGTCCAAGGGTACCTTGTAGACCTGAGGTGGATGTTTATCTAAAGGGACAAATTTGAATCCACTTTAGTCAACAGAGGGCTTAGTGCCTTATCGGACATATCCTATTGATTAATTACTCAATGATTTAACATCGTAGGGGAGCATACGGGCTTTGACCATGAACTTAATTTAATGATGTTGTTTGGCGCAAAACCACCCGGTCCGAGAGTCTCGTTCATAACCGTTTACATGTAGTGTCATTTGGTGGCAAAACCACCGGTTAGAGGACACGTGTCACTTCTTTACTGACAAGAGAAGAATTGAGAATGAATCATAGTGATATTCTCGACAATATATTTACTCTATGGGCTCCAAAAATTCACACCTTGGCCTCTCAGTGGACCCCTTTCTTCCTTTATCGGGTCGACAAGAATGAATCATTACTGACAAGGCAGATTTGGTTTTGCATAAAACACTACCGAGAGATTTCGCCCTCATTTTGGGAGGACTTTATGATCTAAGTTCATGTTTTCATAGACACAAGCCTCTATAGTTAATTACCACTTCTGATAATGAGAGAGAACTTTCAATTAAGGCTAGTCGTTAAACAAATATGTAGAGATACATATTATCTAGTGCATAGTAGCAACATGATTTAGGTATTTGAATATTTGATATTTAAAATTAGAAATTTCACCATCTTATACTTAAAAGCAAATAGTGGGGGAAATGATGATGAGCCCAATCAAAATCCCATGGTTCTGTCATCCCAGGCCATCGTGGTCCCTAGTTTACTTAATCAAAGAAGGTAGTTGACCCAACTTAACAGAAAGATCCTTGTCAGCAGCCATGGGTTGCTTTGTCCAATGGTACCTTGTAGACTGTGGACCTCCAAAAAGAGACCACTGGCTGCAGAGTGCAAAGGGTATGACTGCTCCAACCCGAGGGATAGAAACGATCGTAGGTCTCCGCGCTCCTCGCAAACGGGCCAATGGAAGAGCAGATTAGATCGTACATATGACTAACCATTGAGGATAGAAGCCCTCACCAGCACACCCTGATGGGTAGTAATATATACGACCTGATCGTAGCAACATGTTTACCCCACCCGATACATCAGCTCGAGTAGGGTTTATTTGATGGTGGAGTTCCGTTTCTCACGGGCGCGGGCGCAAGCCCCCATGGTTAATTAATCTCGAGCCTAGGGCCCGAGAAAATTCTCTATTAAGGATTCGATATTATTCTTCCCATACAAGAGAGATTGGCACACAAAGGGGGACTAGGAAGTTCCTACTCAAAGGGAAAGAAGGGCTCAAGTGGCTTAGTCAACATGCACGGCTCATCTCAACATCCAGAGGGACTAAGGCAGTAACAAGAGAAAGAGAATCACACACTCAAAGCATACGGAGGGAAAATATGGAAGTGGCGCCATCCATGCGACGTAGATAGGTAGGATTTATAGTCACTGAAGAAAAGGAACTTACCTACCGTTTAGGCCTACTACGAAACACCCAGTGTAGTAGCCTTGAATCCTAGATCTAAGGTGTGTTTAGTGTTCTACCCAACACTAACACCCGTGTCCTAACTAATGCACCTGAGCTTATATCCTGTCTGAAAAAGGAAAGTCAGCTAACCACCTAAGCGTGTAAAATCCATGTTGTCCAGTCTTTATGAATGATGGGTGGGTAGTTTAGTGTTTTGGAAGTAGGGTCGACATCATTAGAGTTTCATAATTGGCCCTGGATTTATGTAGGGTGAATGCTCCTAGAACTAATGCAATTAAATTTTAATTAAATTTGTTTTTAATGCAATGGATGCTGGTTGAAGTCTCCAAATTAGATATGCATAAAATTTTAAAAAGGCTTATAAAAATAATATTTAGAAAAAGGCTATACTTTCCAAGGTCTGGCACCTCATCCTCATAGGCCAGATTATCCGGACTCTACCCGTAGGCGAGGAAGTGTCTTATAGAAGGAAAAGAGAGAATGCATTAATATGTATACGACCCCAGACGATTCCGGCTATTTCTTAGGTCATTAAGTTTCTAAGTTATTTAAACCTTAAAATTTTGAATATTAATTACGAGTAAAAAAATATTTTATAGTCCTTAAAGAACCTAGCGAAAATCAGGCCAAACACATGCAAAAAAGAAACATAAAAAAGCAGGCAAATTCTATTACACAGAAAATAAATACATCAATATAAATTCAAAAAAATAAAGTAAGAAAGTCTACGACAAGTGTCGTATAAATACAACCCAGGGTCTACAAAAAAGTAATAGTGCTCAGGTCCCAACGACAACATCCTAAATTCTAATCCTAATGGATGACGCAAATCTTAAAAGTAAGATATTTCTTCTTCAAGTCTCCATCTTCAAGTGGATTGTCATTCTCCAGATCACCTCCATTTGGATCGTCTCTTTCGGGCTCCGTATGGTTCGTCCTCCGGAAGGGTACCCAAATGACTAAGAAATTCCCTATAAAGGGTCTTTGTTTTTCTTTTTGGGTATCGAGTGTTTGAAATGCATCACTTTTGAAGACTTTCACAACTCGATACAAATTACAATAAATTATATTATGAAAAAGAAAATCTAAACTCAAACTCATGCATTATTATCCTAATAGAAATCACAGCCATTTCAATATACCACATCACAAACAATTATATATATGCAGAAAAATAAACACGCTTAACCACGCTCTTTTAGTTTAAAGGGGGCTAAATAGTCTTTGGAGCATCTGCATAAAATAACCTTAGTTTTAAAGCTTTAATGATTATTTTTTCCCCTTTTATTTAGCGCTAAATGAGCGTGGCCACATGCATAAGATCGGATTAGTATCAAAGCAGCCCTAGCCCATGAGCAGTCTAACGCACAAATCTTAGCATAATCAATGTATATAAATATAATAAAGTAAAGAGCAATCATAACACAACAGAGCAAAGCAATCAATCAGCATTCGTGTCACACACAAAGCATCACAACACAGAAAGTAGAAAAAGTAAATACTAGCCCTAATTCTAGAGCTAGAAGTAGTGCCCTAGCAAAATTATGTGTGTGTAGTAGGCTTGTGTGGCTTCAGATAGGTCATATGTAGGGTACTTAATTTAAGTTGCCTAAAGTTTATGTTTGTTAAAGGTATGAAAGGAAACTTTTAATTAAAATTTAAATATTAATGAATTGTGATCAATTTTAATTAATTTAGTTCGTTGATCCATTTTAATGCTTAGGATAGTCATCTTGAGAGTTTAAATTGCATTAGCAAATTTTAAAAAGTTCAGGATCCTCTTATATACTAGGCTAAGGGGGGTCCAAAAGGTCGATATTGGAAATATGCTAGTTTTTGGGGTCCTAGCATTTTAGTTAAATATTAGGGCTTAAAAAGAGTAATTAGGCTTTGAGTTTGTTGAATTTGGAGCTTTCTAGGTCAAGTTATGAATTTTCGAAGTTTCAGGATATTATTGAATTATTAAAATTACTTAATTAGGGATGCTTTAGGAGTTTTGATCCAAAATAATTCCAAACTGATTTAAATCACCTCCAAAGGTCATAAATGATCTAAAGAAGTGTTCCCAAGTGTTTGAAAAAAATTTAAATTTTTAATAATTTTTACTTATTTAATTTAGACAAAATGGTGAATTTTAATTAAAGTTAAATTACGGCTCAAATTAAAGTCTAATTAAAAGGCCCTAATTATATAAGGTTAAGAATTGAATTCTGAAGAGTTTGGGGTCTTATGGGTAATTTTTTGAGTTAAAATGAATTTATTACAATTTTTTTAAGTTATTAGGGTCTAATTAACGGGTAAATTAGGGTTTGTTAATTAAGGAGTCTAAAGGGTCCTAAAAATTTCTAGAAAATTTTGTGAGGTTCATGAAGTCACTAAGTT